TATTAGAAATAATCAACCATTACAAAAAGTTTCAGGGTACAAAATCAATTTTAAAAAATCAGTTGCATTCCTATACACTAACAATGAACTAGCAGAAAAAGAAATCAAGAATACAGTCCCATTTACAATCTCAACAAAAAGAATAAAATACCTAAGAATAAACTTAACCAAAGAGGTGAAAGACCTGTACACTGAAAACTATAAGACATTATTGAAAGAAATTGAATAAGACATAAAGAAATGGAAAGATATCCCATGTTCATGGGTCAGAAGAATAAATATAGTTAAAATGTCCATACTACCTAAAGCAATCTACAGATTCAATGCAATCCCAATCAGAATCCCAATGACGTTCTCCACAGAAATAGCACAAAGAATCCAAAAATTTATATGGAACAACAAAAGACCCCAAATAGCCAAAGTAGTCCTGAGAAAAAAGAACAAAACTGGAGGCATCACAATCCCTGACTTCAAAAGGTACTACAAAGCTACAGTAGTCAAAACAGCAAGGTACTGGCACAAAAAGAGACAAACAGATCAATGGATCAGAATCGAAAGGCCAGAAGTAAAACCACACATCTATGGATAGTTCATCTTCAACAAAGGAGCCAAGAACATACAATGGAGAAAGAAAAGTCTCTTCAATAAATGGTGTTGGGAAAACTGGACAGCCACATGCAAAAGAATGAAAGTAGACCATTATCTTGCACCATACACAAAAATTCACTCTAAATCGTTTAAAGATTTGAATGTAAGACCTGAAACCATAGAATTCCTAGAAGAAAATGTAGACAGAAAACTCTGTGACATTGGTCTTAACAACATCTTTTCAAATACCATGTCTACTCGGGCAAGAGAAACAAAAGAAAAAGTTAACAAATGGGACTATATCAGACTAAAAACCTTCTGCAAAGCAAAGAAAACCATGAACAAAACAGAAAGACAACCCACGAGCTGGGAGAAAATATTTGCAAATCCTTTATCAGACAAGGGGTTGATCTCCAAAATATATAAAGAACTCATACAACTCAACAACAACAAAAAAATACAAACCAATCAAAAAATCGGCAAAGGGTATGAACAGACATTTTTCCAAGGAAGATATAGATGGCCAACAGACACATGAAACAATGCTCAACATCACTAATTATGAGGGAAATGCCAATCAAAACTACAATGAGATATCACCTTACACCTGTCAGAATGGCTATAATTACTGAGACAAAAAACAATAAATGTTGGAGAGATGTGGAGAAAAGGGAACGCTCACACACTACTGGTGAGAACGCAAACTGATGGAGCCACTGTGGAAAACAGTATGGAGATTTCTCAAAAAATTAAAAATAGAAATACCATACAATCTAGCTCTCCCAATACTTGGTATTTATCCCAAGAATTTGAAATCAATGATCCAAAGAGATTTATGCACCACTATGTTCATTGCAGCATTATTCACAATAGCCAAGATGTGGAAGCAACCCATGTGCCCTTCTACAGATGAATGGATAAAGAAGATATGGAATATATATACAATGGAATACTACTCAGCCATAAAAAAGACAAAATCCTCCAATTTGCAACAACATGCATGGACCTCAAGGGTATGATGTTAAGTGAAATAAGCCCAAGACAAATACTGCATGATTTCACTCATATGTGGAAGATAACAAATACATGGACAAAGAGAACAGATTAGTGATTACCAGAGGGAAAGAGGGCTGGGGAGGGTGGGAAAAAGGCAGAAAAGGGCACATATGTATGGCGATGGATAAAAATTAGACTACTGGGGATGAGCACATAAAGTGTATTCAGAAATTGATAAACAATAATGTACAACCGAAATTACACAATGTTAAAAACCATTATAATCCCAATAAAATTGTTTGGGGGGAAAAAAGCTGACTATTTAAATAACTGAGAGAAGTTGGGAAACTGGTTCCAGGAAGATATAGAAGTGCAAAGGTTCTGAGATGGAATAGGCTTGTTCCATTCAAGGAACAAAATGAAAGCACAGGTGGAGGAAAGTGAATAAGGATGAGAGTATTAGACGCAAAATGGAAGAGGCTGGTAGGGGCCAGACCCTAAAGCATCTCTTAGACCTGCATTGTTCAATATGGCAGCCACCGGCCACGTGTGGCTATTGAGCATGTGAAATGTGACTGGTCACAGGAGATGAGCTGTAAACGAATTTTAAACAACACAAACACATACTTTTAATTGCTAATCAGTAAGTTTTATGTTGATTACATGCTGAAATGATAATATTTAAGGTACGTTGAGTTAAATAAAATATATTATTACAACTAATTTTACACTTTTCTTATTTTTTTAAATGACTATCAGAAACTTAAAATTACATATACAGCTTGCCTCATGTTGTTATTTGACAGGACAGTTCTAGATCATCATAAGAATCCGGATTTTATTCTCCTTTGGGGGAGGCCAGGGGAGGCTGTGAAATAGGGAGTGACATTAACTGGTTTATGATTTTCAAGTACACTCTGGCTCCTGTGCAGACAATGGATTTTAGAGAAAGAAAGAGTAAAAGAGGCCCTGGTAAGCGATGGCGGAAACAGGAAGATGGGAATAAAGCCGCCAGTCACCAGAGTCAGAGGAAAACGTGAGAGATTGTAGGTCAGGAATAAATTAAATATCTGTGTGGGAGACAGAGGCTGAGAACCCACAACAGAGCAAAGAACAGGGAGTCTAAATGCTCTCACCACAGTTTCATCATTTTTTATGGCATTAAATCTAAAATTATACATTTACTTTATGATTTACTAATGCCTTTTTATGTTGAGGTAAAGCGTTACGACAGGAATGAACTTCGAAAAGTGTGTGCTCAATCAAACACTGAACAGTCGATTCCTCTTCCTCCAAGTTAACGAGGACTATATAACTTGTACAAACTGTGTCTGCATTTACCATCCCCACAGGGCCTGTGCCATCTCCAATCACAGGTTAACCTGCTGAAGATACAAGTCTGCTTAAGAATTTCAGCGGCTGTTTTAACAGTGAGTAGTCATTTTAAGAAAAGTGGACCCAAAGCTGACGTAACGTGTGCAGCTGCAGCAGAGGCTTCCTGTATCACTGACTGAAGCGGGTGCCCTGAGCATCCCTACCCCCTGGACCCCTCACCTCCCCCTCCAGGCACTGAAGGCTGCTCCTGCAACACCTGCACGTCCACAGGGGGCGGCGGGAGCGCACTTCCTTGCACCCAGAGCAAGGTGGAATATTAACGAGCAAGTGCCCTGGACGCATCCCTCTCCAAGAACAGTTGGGGGATACGGGTGGATGACACTGCAACTTTCTCACCCCTGATCTTGAGGCCAGCGCCCTGTCCTCAGAATTTCCCTGCAGGGTGAAAATCCATCTGCCTACCCTGCTGTCTAGCTCGATGACGCATCCTTTACCAGCCTCCTTCCCTTCCCCGTCATCCTTCCTCACTCCCCACGCACATATTTCCTGGGATCACCTTTCACAGAAATGACTTTTACTCATATCTTTCTCTCAGAGTCAGCTTCTGAGAGAGCACCAGCAAGGATGAAGAATTTTCATTTACACCAAATGAGTGTTCTTCTAAATTATTTGGCAGATTTTTTATTCCAAGTCTTCCTGTATATACACAAAAAAAGAAATGCTGACTATTAATAGGCTGATCCCATTTGCAGGAGAACGTTGCCAACAAATGATACCAGTTAATGCCAATGATCATTCCATTTCTCAGTCAGTCCGTGGAATGAAATAAAAGCTGTGGAAAGGTATTCTGTAGAAGGAGAAACTTCGGACTTTTTGTGACTGCTAGAAAATCCAGTTTAAGAAGTCCACATTGAATATAAGATCATTGATTCTGGTGGTGACAGTATAAACACAAATGCTGGTGGAGCGTAACATTGCAGCAGAAACAAACTTACTACTCAACTGAGAATCTATGGAACAAAAATACACTTATAATTGGTTGTGGTGAATAGATAATTCTTAATTGTATCCTAATTGTGTCCAAACGAGAGTGACTATGTGTGTGTTTGTGTGTCTGCACAAATATACATATCAGATATAAATGAATGTATATATCTCTCTATATATCTATGTATGTACGTATACACACACACAGGTAGAATAACTATAAAGGTTTTGTGAGAAAGGTGATGTGGAATAAAACATACTGTTCAGCAATCTTTCTCCCTGTTCCCTGTCATCCATCAGGTTTTGAAAATGGTTGAGCCTTTGAGGAACCGTTTTGTGATTCAATCTAAGTGGCCTACAATGGTATTGAGCATTGGGTGAAAGAGTCCCCTACGTTTTATTCATGTAATAAAGTGTCTGACTCCATTATTTTAATGTTTGATAGCTGACAGCTCTGAGACTCACCTCTTCCTCCCACATCTGGGCCCCAGGAGCTCCCTCCTTTGCCAGTGGTGGGAGTTTCAAACCACACAAGCCCCTGGCTGCACACAGTAACCCTCACCCTGCCTCTCTGCCGAACGAGCACTTGAATCCCAAGCCAGCCTCCTTTCCCTTCTCCCTCACGCCATCTTAAGACTGGACTGGAAGCAAGTGCTGTTCTCCCCAGGTAGCTTCAGTAGGTAAGTAGTAAACTTTTAATACTCTCCTGGTGGGTGTCAAATCTTGGCATCATCAGTCTCGACATCTGAACCAAATTTTGGTGTGGCCCCATTCTGTTTCTACAGGATAACTCCAAATCTTAAAGTATTCAACAAATAACGTACCAAAACACCACAAATTTCAAAAGCATTGAACTAGTTGCAATTGCAAAAAACAAATTTACAAGCAGAAACACCCTGAAATGTATCCCTAAAAAAGGAAAATATCCCCCTATCAAATCATAATTTAGATGGCAATCTCACGTGTTATGCATTCTACTGACAAGGCAGGCAGATAGAGAGTCAAAGAGAGAGGTGATTCCTGGAAATATGAACTACCACTCACCCAGGGGCTCCTGAGTCCCCACTGCCCTCCTATATGCTCCCCCAGCTCACCTTGCAGGAAGCCCAGCAGCGAGGACAGGATGATCAGTGGCAGCAGGAGGTGCTTACCCATCTCTGGGTTTGACCCCAGTCTCAGGATTGGCAGAAGGCAGGAGAGAACTGCACGTGTCAAGATTCTCTGAGAATCTCAGCTTTATAACTCTAGACAAAGGGCTGCGCTTCCCCAGGACACAGATTGCACCAAGTGCCTGAGGAGCCAGGGTCCCGCTGCATTCCTCCCAGCATTGCTGACCCCGCTCACCTCCATGGGCCCTTCTGAGGGAGCTGAGCCATGTAGGAAGAGCTGGTTCCTTTCTGTCTCAATTTCACAATTTTAAAATGGCAGAATATAGTCTTACAAATGTAGCCTAAGGATTCGTGAATTCAATGAATTAGTGAACGTTCCACCATCTAAAGAGGTTTGCCATTTTTAAGGAAAATGCTGAAGTATGGTGTCAATAAAGATACTTTTATTAAAGACTCTCTCCTATGAAAATAAACACAGGGAAATAAATACATGCTTAGACTTTCGTAAATTTCAGGCCAGAACACAAACAGATTTTGGTGGTAGTTTTGTTTCATTTCCTGGCAATGAGACATATCTACATTTTTTTTGGTCATGTTTTGGCAAACAGGAGGAGAGTAAAGTATTTCTCCAAATCTTTAATATCTATGCTATAAGTAACCCACAGTTGTTTTTTTTTAAATCTCGTTATTTCTTTTTCAATAAAATTTTCTTTTCTATTCTGCATGCTAGATTATGTCCAGTGAAGGGTTCCCTATCCAGAATGCTGAAATGAGGAGATCTGAGACCCGCCCCACCCTACTCAGTAAAACAACCTTAACTAGTGAAAAATGTCTTTTACACAATCATTTAGAGTCTCTGGAAATTGGCCTAAGGGCATACAGCAAATGAAGAAATATCTATTCTAGAAAATCTACTAAATCTCAGTAAGAACAATGAGTCACCTGAGCCATGACTCAACCACTCCCTTCCTTCTCCTCCCAGCTCAGCATGAAAGTAATTCCACTCTGGGTAGGTTTGGACAAGAAAATGGGTCATTCTTTCCCCTACAGCTCCCAGTCAAGGGATATGTGTATCTACTGGGAAGTCAGACCACCAGCATTTCACAACTACCCCAGCTCCAAGTTGCAGAGGCTAAATTCCTGGCACTTGTGGCCAATACTGGTGGTATCCCTTCCTCTATCCAGCCCCACTTAGACAGCAAAGCCTCTAACCCAGATGTGAGAGGCTGAAAATATTGAGTCTCGATTACCCTCACTCCAGCTCATTTGTAGGACAGAGCTTCTATACCAGGAGAGGCAAGCCAAGAAGACCAGATGCTACTGCCCCAGCCTAGTAGATGGCTCATAGCGCAGAGATGTAACTCTGAGGTGAATAGGCTTCCACCTCTGCCATAAGCTCTGGGGCAATGGCTTAGAGAGCTTCCCCAGGGAGAGAGGATGTCCATGAGAACAAGAGGATCTGAAAATCTCTCAAAGGAATTAACTTTATTCAAAATAGAGTCTAGGAGGCCCGGCCCCATGGCAAAGTGTTTAAAGTTGTGCACTGTGCACTTTGGCGGCCCAGGGTTCACAGGTTCAGATATGAGGTGCAGACCTACTCCACTTATCAGCCGTGCTGTGGAGGCATCCCACAAACAAAATAGAAGAAGATTGGCACAGATGTTAGCTCAGGGCTAATCTTCCTTAAGCAAAAAAAAACTAGGAGGATTGGCAATGGATGTATGGATGTTAGCTCAGAGCTAACAATCAAACAAAAAAAAAAACAGAGGATAGGGATGTCCAAGCCTAAGGGTACTCTCAAAAACAATGGAGCTTCTGGTGGTAAGCAATAAAGAGGAGGCTCTTATCTCCATGTGAGCAACAAGTTAAACTGTAGGTCACCCAGCCTACCAGAGAGAGCCAGAGAAAGAAAGAAAAATAGACTAAGAAAAACCCTACTGGGGAAAGAACAAACATGACAGACTGGCCTGAAAAATGGACCTTTGCAAAGGGAACTGAAATGAATTGGATCAGATAATAAAGCTATGTATGCCCCAGGAAATGGTTGAAAACAATAGAGCCATCAACCAGTAATTGGAGGAGCCTAATAGCTTGGTGTGATACCAACAGGTGCAGACAACTAACACAGAGATCGGGGAAGAGAAAGTCTGTGGAGCTCTGTAATGCACCCTCATCCCAGTAGGACTGTGAGCATGCACAGGGCTATGCCCTCTGAACAGCAACAGCAGACGTTCTACCCTGCAGGGGAAATAGGTTTCTGTTTCCCACCTATAAACTGGACTGTACCCTAAATTCTTCTAGTGTCCTCAGATATCTGGTTACAACTCTCCAAACTAATACTTTCAACTTTTCTTCCACTTGTGACTTAGAATCATTGAGAACTAAAGTTGTTCTTTTCCTGAAGCCCTGAAAACTGAAGCTGAACACATTGATGCAAATGTAAGAATGATCACCACAATAGCCCATGTTTAGACACTCTTTCTGCCCATTGCTCTCTAAGTCACTCAGAAAGCTCCCTGAGCAACCATGACATCATCAGAGATATTCCAAAGTGCAAAAGAAGCTTCAACCCTGATATGTGGAAATCTTGACTGGTTGCCCCACTGGGCTCAGAAAGCGGTTTATAATTTGCTTCAACCATTAGTCTTTGTTTTTCTTTTGTTTCCATAGAAACGTCTCTTATGAGATACCTTATTGCTTGCTTACATAATATAGACCTAACTTTTGGAGCCCACCTGTGTTACCACCTCCTGAAATGAATTTAACTGGACGAACCCATTGTCAAGACCAAGAAACTGGTTCAGCAAGATGGAACAATCTATCAACTTAGCTCCTGGATTGTTAAACTTCTTGATTGAAATTTCACAGGCAAGACTGCAGGGAAACAAAATTTGCCACCCCAAAATATGTCTCTTTAACATGAAAATTATTTTAGGCTGATTATTTTTAAGAAACAAAAGACTCAGAAAGTTTTTCTTGTTACCTCCCCCATAACTTCCTAGTAGAATTTAGATAAATGGCCTGTAACAGGAACAGAGCTATCGCCAGAGACATCTACAAAGAATATGGGCTAAGGATGGTGGGGGAGACTCAGGAGATCCTAGAGATCAGAGTCCTCTCCACGCCCCATTGTCTCTGCATGGCACGGCAAACATTTGTTTACCAAACACTTGCTTTTCTATCTCCATGTCAATTGATTTTCTCTCCTTTGAAGTCCCAAGCCACTACCCCCAACGTCTCCTTTTGTCTTTAGCAGAAGATGGTACTTGAGGTGGTAAATTCAGCAATTTAGTTTTCCTGGGTCTTTCCCATGTATCCATGTTAATAAACTTCATCCAATTTTTCTCCTATTCATCTGTCTCTGGTATTTAACTGTTGGACCAGTCAGAGAACCTAGAAAGGTAAAGGAAAATTTCCTCCTCCCCTACAATATTAATTATAGCAGATTATACAGTATACATATAAAATACATACAGTAAACTTATTATATATATAGTATACATGCTCATATAGTATACATATAGAGTATAGTATTGAGTACACATATAATATATGTATAATACATATTATATATATACTAATACAAATATATATATATATATATATATAATTGGTTCTGATTCCCTCAACGACTGTGACTGATACATCATCCAAGAAGTTCAAAATCTAAGTAGGATAAATGCAAAAAGATCAATACCTTGACATATGATACTGAGAATGTTAAAAGATAAAGAAAAAATCTTGAAAGCAACAAGAAAAAAATGACTCATCACATACAAGGGAGCACCAGTGGGATTCCAGCTGACTTCTCTTCAGAAATAATGGAGGCCAGAGGCAGTAGGATAACGTATATCGTCTGTCAATATCTGTGGGGGTTGGCTCCAGAACTCCCCTCAGATACCAACATCTGAGGATGCTCAAGTCCCTTGGTCAGCCTTCCATACTCATGAGTTCTACATCCTGAGATGTGAAGAGCCAGCTGTATTCAAACTGCTGATAGAAAAACTCTGCCAACCAAGAATCTTACGTTCAGAAAATTCATCTTTCAATCATAAAGGCGAAGAAAGGACATTTCCAGAGGGACAGCCAGTGGAGGGGAGGCTTTGGGAATCATGTGATGTCTTATGTCTGGGTAACAACCAGCCTGAGTAGAGAGATTTCTACCAAATAACATACGCTTATGTAAAATGTATCCCAGTGCTACAAGGAAAGATTTTGAAGGAAAAAAACTTATTTTGTCTCATAAAGATGTTGAAACTGATTTTTAAAGTGTTGTTGGGAAATAAATCTTCCCTGGATTTCTTAGTGTTCCTCTAAAAAGGTCCAGCCTCTTGGCACATGGAGATGTACACAGTTTAAAGAGAAAGATGTTTGCTCTCACTGCTGCTAGAAACACTTCACCTTTCCTAGACCATGAGGATTATATGTCTAACAATTAGTCCCCTAATTGCTCTGATCCAGAAGAATAATAAACTTCTCATCTCACTGAAAGGGCCAAATAGTTATAGCCTGAAGGAGGACCCAAGGGGAAGCTCCCAAGGTCCCAGGAAGGTTGGAGCACCATTCCCCACGTCATTGACGTCTCAGGCAAGAATAAGGCCTGACCTTGGAGAGACCTCTAAACTGAGAAAGCCCCAGACTCATGTGGTTCTCTAGCTTCTGGAGAGAGTCTACTTACACAGCAGAGTGTTGCGGTGGGCATCCAGCTTGTGCATCCCATCTCTACAGAGCAGGGATTTTTCTCCCTCCTCTCTGGAAGGGATGAGGACACTGTCTCTCTCATATATATAAAAAGGGCCAAAAATCCATTTTCTCCAAATTTGCATTTGGAATGCCCAGCCATTTGTGTAAAAGTTTTTTCCGTTTATCTTTTATTGCATCACACAAGAGGAAAGACTAGGACAAGAAGGAGCACACACTTATAAATTACTGAGAGTCAATTAATAAAAATATCTATGATGTAAAACATCTTGTGTACACATTAGAGATGAAATTAACAGAGAGAAATGTCACGAGCCCAACACCATTGTATTAGAGGTAAATCATTTCTTGCTGTGTAAATGCAGGATACTATACAACTGGAACCCAGTAGAAAGCCATATATTCTGGATGTAGTGATATTTTACTAACTATGAAGAATTAAAACCACATATTCTAAA